ACTCTTTCATTCTAATGATAGAATTTTTTATGCATATCCACTAAGAAGTACCATTCTCTCACCTAAATTATTGACGAACTTGGCATCTGATTTCATGACTTGAAACTTCCCTGCACTAATTCTGGTAAATCTTTTGCCTACTGGAAAGCTTTATTCCGTTCTTTCACATCTAATTCTAGAGATTTTTTTATTTTTGAAATAGTTCTATATCTCTTTTTATTAATGATACACTGGGATGTAAAAATCTACGTAAGAAATTAGTAAAAAGTCATTATTAAAAGGTAGAAAGTCAACTGAACTGGCAAAACAAAATACAGTAAGGACATTTAATGGGGATACCTGCAAAGGAAAGGGCATTGATGGTTCAGTATTCTGCTTCCAGCTCCAGACAAAAGAGCCAGAGTGTATGGTGCCATGCACTAGTAAATTGCATTAATTGGTGGAATCTGCACTATCGGGACAAATATAGTAATAATTCAAATAAACAGCTAATTTGTGGTCATTAATTTAATTTCATGACTAATTCAAACCATCAATTCTCAATTATCGGCAAAATACAACAATCTAATATTTTACAGGTTTATGTAAAGCTATTCAAGTCATGAACTTAAAGAAAGAAGAGGAAAAAAAAAAATAAGAGAGAGAGAGAAACCTGAAAATACAGATATCAAATTAACTGGACAAATAATGTAATTATAAGGGGAGGACTAGAGAATTTATGCTACAAATTACATGGAGATTGTGAAATCATGAAGTAAGCAATTTCACAATTCTATAAAGGAAGGATATGTAGACCAACAACAATGTAGTTGAGTTAATTCCTACTAACTTGAAAATTTTAATTTGGAGACAAGATTAAATGTTCAAACACTACTAAAATTCTCTTTTTCAGCAACTAAATATCAGCAACATGGGTCCGCTTGTCGATGATATGAATTTTCATCGATAAAGCCCATGTTGCTGATACTTAAATAATACACCTTTTACCAAAAAGTGTTTTTCACTTTCAGCAACATAGTTCTTGTTGCTGAAAGTGATTTCCAGCAACATGGTTTTTGTTGTCGAAAGTGATTTCCAACAACAGGAACCACGTTGCTAAAATTTTTTTGTTACTATTCATGACCGGGTGTTTCACTAATTCCATAAATTAATCAGCAACATGGGAGCATGTCAGTAATATGGTTTTTTACCGACAAGACCCACGTTGCTGATATTTAAATAGTACACATTCAAACCAAAAAGTGTTGTTTACTTTCGGCAACAAGAACCATGTTGCTGAAAGTAAATTTCAGCAACAAGAGCCATGTTGCTGAAATTTTCTAGTGGGTTATATCATTAGCAACATATACTATATTGCTGATATTAATATCAGTAACATATCTCATCTTGCTATTATTTATTGACCGGCAATTGCTATCACCGGCAAGAAATATATTGCTAAAAAATTATTTTTGACTAGTAGTTCCACCACCCATTATATATACACCATTCTCATGCCAATACATACGCCTCTTCCACACTTTATATATGTACACATTATTTTTTAAACTATTAACAAAATTTTACTGCTGTAATTATATTAATAAATATATTAAATGTTACATGATATTTAATAAAGTACTAAAAAAATTAAGAAACTAGTTTTTGTTTTGTCCGTGCATTCCATAGTTTTTTTTAAAATTTATATTAGAGTTTAGATTTTTTATTTTTTATCAACTCTTGAGTTTTATAATGATTTTTAACTAAAAA